AACAGTTGCTAAATATCTTCCTTCTTTTCAGCATCAGCTATTTGCACTCTTAACAGTCTGAATATAGTGTTTATGAAGTTCCTCACCGTGGAATATATATATATATCTGCCTCATCTATTAAGACCCTTTTAAATTGTAGCTTAGTGCTTACCGCTTCTTTAATGTATCTTGACATAAGGTTAATTCGTTATATTGGTATTGCATTTGCATTTGATTTAGCTGTTAACGTAAAAGATTCTCATACTTTGAGTTTCAGAATTGGCAACTTAATTTTGTTGAAATTGCTTTAGGATAGAGACAATTTGTGGAAACCTTATGGTAGTGTTGTTCACTATCTCACCTTTAACTTGTTTGGCATTATATTTCTGTCATCTTTACCTGCAAATATACTCCGGAAAGCAGTATTAACATGCAAAGGTTTCCTTTCCCAGTATTAAATCTCTTCATTGTACTTATATTGTACTTGGTTCGGATTCATGTGCCATTCTTTTCTTTATTACTTAATTTTTGAACAGATGTGCTGATTCTCATGCATTTGGATCATACAAACAAACAATTCTCTCCCCAATAATCAAGCATGGGGAATGAAAAACCTAAAACCACATTAACTTTATAGGAATGGTTCGGCTGTCACATTCTTAATAGAGTATGGAAGACTTACCTTTGTTCTCTGTATTGGATGGATTTGGAGAAAAGGGAGGCAACACATTATTGCCTCTATTCTCTTTATTACTTAATTTTTAAACAGATGCGTTGATTTTTGGGAAGTAACTTCTAAGATTTGAGTATACGATAGTGAGGGAAATTTGAATATTCTTTATCTGGCTATTTAAAAAATCTGTAATGGACTTCGGAAATGTATTCAATGGTGTTTCATCATTGCTTACCTAATAACCTAGAACATGGCTACTTGATATTTTTCTGCGACTAGTCAAGCACATATCTTTTTGAATCATTCATGGTTCGCAGTCAAGATTCTTGCTTTTTCGTTTTGTTTAAATAAAGATATGATAAGGCAAGAATGTTTGAAGTTGTGAAGCTTCTTATCTGTGAAAAACATAATTCTCTATTGGAAACAACCTCTCTATCTTCTCAAGGTAGAGGTAATGTCTGCGTACACACTACCCTCCCCAGACCCCACTTGTGGAATTGCACTGGATTTTTTGTTATTGTTGGTTGGATAATATACTTGTACTAACAAGAGATGAGTTCCGATCAAAATGTGAGGTATATGAAAGTGCAGCATGAATAGATGTTTCATGCGTATATGAGATTGTACTTGTTTTTCCTTTTTTGGTAGAAATTTGTCATTGAGGCTGCATGGACAAGAAGATCTCGGAGTGAAGCTGCAAAAAGGCCCAACAGGAAATCATGGAAACAAAGGACGGATATGTATTTGAGACCTTTTTTACTAAACATTTTCTTTTCAAAACGATTTATCCATGCAAAAGTCATGCATCGAGGAACCAGCAAGGTGATCTCTGTAGCTACCACAAACGCGAAAGACTTAAGGAACACATTGCCTTCCCTTATTGACAACAATGCTGCCAGGGTGATAGGCAAGTTGATTGCAGAGCGATCAAAAGAAGCTGATGTCTACGCCATTGCATATGAGCCCGGAAGGAATGAACGAATTGAAGGTAGACTTGGGATTATTCTCGACACTATCCAAGAAAATGGCATCATATTTGTTTAATATTTCACCTTTTGTGTTTGTTACTTGCAACTAGCTATATTAGGTTTTTTTAGTATCAGTTATTCCCAACTGTTAGACCCATACGTCTTCTGTATTCTTCAGAGCTCGTCTTTATAGCATGTGATAGAGTTATTTGCCAAAAGATTGTTCTATTATTGTGGTACCAGAGGTCTCGCGGATTTGACCTTTATAGGGACTAATAGCATTATATTTGAGCAAATGAGAATGGTGCACGTCCAGTTAGCCAATTAATGTTACTGAGTTTTAAGAACTTCGTCGTTCTAGAAAGCTAAAAAAACAGTAGTTTTTGTTTTCCCAAAACTAAAATTTTATATTCTAAGAACAATTCTTCCATGAAAAAAACCCATTTTTTCTACACCAGACGCTACAATATGTTCTCCTGTATAAAAGAAAAACATTTCTTATTATTTCTAGCGGGGGAGTGGGATGATGTAAAAGCATTTTGTGTTGTGTTAGATCTGTCTGTCATTAATTACCACACGTTAAGTCTCAATTCTTAATTGTTCGCGAAAGGCCCAAATATGTGCATATGCGTGTGCGTGTGAGAGAGAGAGAGAGAGAAACTCTTATAATCTTATTTATAAAAATTCAGTCTCGACAATGATAATACAGAGGCAATAAGCCAAATAATACAGCATTTGTTTCCTTCATAAGAACAAAAAATAGGAAGAAAGAAAAAGAAATTTTTGCCATAAACTTGTATAAAAGTAGAATCTATAAAGATACATCGCCTTATAGCAAGCACCAAAATGCAAACAATACTGGTATACCTGGAGAAAACGGAACATTGTAATAAGAGAAGGTTAGTCAACAATAAAATCAATTCAGATTAGAAACAGATCATACATTGCAACCCATGCAAAGCTCTAGATATCTAAGTAAGGAAAAAGCGGTGATAAACAAGTAACACAATAAAGTCCAACTTTAGAGTTCTCAATTACCATTAATACGTAAGCATGATGCCGCTCTACCAATATACTCCTAGGCAGCAACCTGTAACATAGATAAAGGATCTGTATAAAATTCCAAAGATAATGCAGAACCAAAATTTAATTATTTTGGACAAATAAACTGAAAATCTGCTCATATTATGAGCTTACTCGATTATATATGGAGAGATTCGTCCTAGATAAGGCAAAGTTTATGAGCAAACTTAACCACAAATCATTATAAATCAAATAATGCTCCACATAATCAAAACACTGCAGAAAATGTTTGAACATTTGTATGACAAGAATCATATATAATTAACAGTAATCCCCAGCATCAGTTAAACAAGTTCATATGATTATCACTACCTGTGTTAGTTCACACTGATCTCATAACGTTAAAAATATCTAGTTCGGCTTAAGCCCTAGTATTTGCATCACAGGACATTTACTTCCCAAATTACGTCATGTACACTGGATATCCTTTTCCATGCAAGTTGAAGGTCTTAACATCCTTGTAACTTTTGGTATACCATCATGTTAGTACTTTACCTTCTCAACAGCTGGGGCAAAAACAGCTTTAACTGCTTCAAATACTTCTCCAACAGGTTTTGCAGCATCAATCTGAAGAAAAAAAGATGTCATCATCAGTTTAATATGCAGGGTCTCTCTCTCTCTCTCTCTCTCTCTCTCTCTCTGTGTGTGTGTGTGTGTGTGTGTGTGCTGGAAGGCAGTAAAGACACTGAAAAATAAAACAGTACCTTTCGAACCTTCCCCTTGGAGTTGTAATATTCAATAACAGGTAAACTAGATTCCAGGAAAACCTTGAATCGCTTCCTTATTGTATCAATATTATCATCTTCTCTTCCCTATAGAAAGAAATCAAAGTTCATGAGAAGA